ATCCATGTCATAATCAACTATAATCGTGACACTAGTGGAACCAGCACTTCATTGTTTTGCGCATTTACGCTTGAATAATGCTAGATAGCTTATTGATATTCCTATGTTTACGTGTTAAAATGTAAAGTTTCAAATATTAAAAAGTAAACAAACAAATTATTAATTAATATTTGAAACCAGAAGACAGCATTCTGGAGGATATGGGTAAGGATTTGATTCCTAGTTACGCATTACTTGGCCAATAAAACATCTCTCCCACTTTGTCTGTGGTATCTGAGACGAACCCTTTAATTTATTTTTTTTATATAAAGTATTCTCAATGCCTTTTCTTAGTCATGTTGCTACGTTTTCAAGGTTTCTTAAAGCACACTGAAGAATACCAGGCACAAAAGTCTGACTTAATCGTGATTTAAAAATTCTTTTTTACTTGCACTGTAATAGGCGTTACATTTGTCCACTGTCGACGTAAAATTATATGCTACGATATCTTTGATTAATTCGCATAAAGACGTTGACCCAAATGATTCTTAATTTAACAAACCATCATTATGTGTCGTCCACTATGGGATTAACAATTCGGAATTGCTCCTTCTGTGCAAGTTGGAGCCCCGTCACAAGAAGATTCCCACGCCTTCGTTTTCTCTTGTTTTTTTTTTTGTTTTTTATTTACATCAATTTGGCAATCACTATTTGAAATGATATGCAGCTACAAGATATTATATTTGTTTAATTTTAAATTGCAATCTTTATCACATCTCTCGTTGTTAATGGCATTGAATCGCCATAGTGGGTTTCAGTAGAAATTTGCTATCGATTTCTGCCCCAGTATTATGCGGGTGTATTAAGAGAGTGGGGACTATTTGAGAACAAAGTTTTGGCCTTTAAGCAGTGTTAATTAATCATAATTAGTGGTAACAGATTGAGAGAAGCAAGTGGCTGGTGGCAACCATTCGAGCTGGTGATTGTCAAATTTTTTATTTTTTTATAAAAAAGGCTGAATTGAATTATTGGAGCTCATTAAATTAAAGATAAGTCTCCTCTTTTTTTTTGAACTCAAAGAATACTTACAATGATATTTACATAACATTTATCAATATGGAATTTGATCTTATAATTTTATAAATTACAAGTCAACAAGAGCGGAGCCAGAAAATTTTGTTAAGGGAGCCAAGATGACAAATCATATATGATAATCAAAAAAATTAAATTTATATATAACTAACATAACATAAATATTTCAACCTATATATTTATATGCAATTTTACACACACATGCGCACAACAAAAATAAATATATATCTTCATTTTTTTAAGTTTTACTTATTAATTTTTTATGACATAAGAATAATTAATTATCATGTTTACGATAAAATTTTTAAAAATTTTTTTATTAATATAAACTATCATTAAATTAGAGAATATTTCATCTTCCCTATAAGCATTGCATAATTTAAATATATCTTTAAAATCTAAAGTTCTGTTTAATATAAAAAAGCTCTATCACTTACTTAATGAATTTATTATTTAATTCTTTTAATTGATATGTTCTTCATTCAATATATCTTGAAATTTTTATTGCTGTGCTTTATAAAGTTTTGTTGATAACAATTCTCATAATTTATTTCATCAAATATAAAATGAAAGCAGAATTAAATGATATCAATGCTTTAAGAGATATTATAATTATAATGTTATCTTTAAGCTACCATAAAATTGAAATCATAATTTCATCTAACATCTTAAAGTTTTTATAATTTGCCCACTTAAGAGATTGAAAATATAAAATTCTTATATTTTATTAATAAAAATTAAAAATTAAGAAGAGTTGTGATCCTTGATGATCCCTCCCTGTCTCCGCCCTCGTAAGTCAAAATTTTGCTAAATAAAACATTTATTGGTGAGGTAACCAGACTTTGAAAAAAGTTGTGTATGATATGGGGGAGGGAGAACTTCCCTGGGGCAATTCAAGAGTCAAATATTGAGAGAATGTTCATGCCTTGTCATTTAGCGTAGCGATACAGATGAGATAAGTGCTATACTCTCTTTATTCTAAGTTATGAAATATTTTTAGACAAACTCATAAATACAAATAAAATTTATTAAATAAATTCTACAATTTTATTTTTTAAATAAAAATATAAATTTTAAAAAATACCTTAATTTTGATATTTCGCTTATGAAGAAACGTTCCATTTGTCAAAATGTCTTGTTTTTTGAGATGTCAAATTTTTTTCAAAAATATCTTAAAAAAAACATAAATTTAGTTCTTATATTTTCATTGGGTTTTGTTTTTAACCTCTGTAATTTTCTCTCTCAATATTTTCAGCTTTTTTAAGAGCTAAAGACATTAAAAAGAACGAAAATTATAGGGACATAAAGACAAGTGCCACTCAATTTTTCTAAAATTACAAAGGCTGAAAATACTAAAACAGTTAAAAGAATTAAAAATAAAACCTAATAAAATTATGGAGACTGACGATTATGTTTTTTCATGTCTTCATTAGATGCTTCATTTCGTTGGTTTTTTTCCCCCCCTGCATCTATAGTTTTTATGAAAATGCATGACAGAGTAGACAACAGAATATAAAATCTGAACTTTGTCTTTGACAGCAAGAGTCTCTCTCTCAGTCTCTCTTGAATGTGAGCAGAATGAAAATTCTCTAAGCCCATCTTTGAATGGGGCATCCTTTTTAAGCCCATGGCTTCGGCTTTTGTGAAGTGAAATCCAAAAAATTCTGACTGGGCCTAATGGACAAAGTTTGCAGGGAAGATCGGGCTAGTCTCAATTATCAGGCCTCTTGAAGGCAACTGGGCTTAGCAAAGCATACTACTTGTTTTTAAGTCTAAATTCTGCTTGTAATCCCTATACAGAGATGTACTCATGTTCAATATTTGATCGCGTCAAATAGAAAGATGCCTATAAATAAAAAAATACATAAACTCTGCTGCTAGGGTTTTGTGATTTTTGTTCGTAAATATTGAGAATAATATTTTCCTGAACATTAATATTTTTATGTTGTTCATTATTTTATGGTTAAATATAAAATAAAAGCATATCAGGAACCAGGGGCGATGATAGCTTGGCCCCTGTTATTGATGTTTTTTGTTTTTGTTTTTTATTTTTTAAGGAAAAAGAAGACGAAAACTGATGATGTTCTCACTCTCCAAGGTCGCAGTTCCACCCACCACAGCGTTACTTAGAAGATGAGGCTCTACCAATATGACTGTTGCACTGTCTCAAGAAGAATTAACCCATGAGAAAGTAATCGAAAATAATCAAAGAAACAGGATTATTTTTATATATGTTTTTGTCATCGTTATTTAACTGTATTTTTTTTTTTTTTTGTGTTTCATTATAATACTGGTGCCTTTCTTTTGTCTTTCTTGCAAGGCAAACACAAAAAACACTCAAGCACAATTTTTTGCTTCTGGGTTATATATGCCAATTGAGTTATTATATATTATAAATAGATAGACAGTATTACAATAAATAACTCAGTTCAATCGGTGAGAATTTGAGGGGTTTATAACTGCTTTTCAACAGATTACTGTCAAGAAGCTAATAAATTCTAATAGCATTCGTATATCAAGAAAAATACACTCCTTTTATTTAAAAATATAAAATATTTTTTTAGAAGTCAGATATTTAAAAATGTAAAATATTTTTAATTTTTTGAGGTGTAATTATTATTTTTTTTTAAAAGAGCCTTTCTTGATAGTAATTTTATATTTATTATAGGGTATTTAATAAAGGTAAATATAAAAAAATAATTTTAATTAAAAAATAAGTAATTATTTTATTAAAATAAATTTAATTAAAAATATTTTATATTTTTAAAGAAGAATGAGTTTACCTTGACGTGGATGAAAACAAATTGAAGTAGTGAGCGAGATAAACGAGGAGCCACGTCACTTTCATCATTCAATTTTCCATCCCCGAATGTCCTGGTCGCTCAATATTTTAATAAACTTAAAACTTTTAATCTGTACAGAAGGCAGAGAATATTAATTTTGATTACATTTATAAAATATTTCATTATTTTTATTTTTTTACTTTGCTTAAATTTTATTTTTAATATTATTTTTTTTATTAATGGTAGATGTGAAAATTTATTGAATTTTGAAATAGAATTAAAAAGATTTAAGATTTTTCTAATTCAATGAATCCTAACTTATAAACATGACATAAACTATTTTTCTTAAATGATGTTAAGAATACAAATAAAAAGATCACGTAACATTTATTAATTTTTTCGATCTCATGTAAAAAAAAAAATGTAACATTATCCAATGGAGATACATTATTCATTCACTTTCGAAACTTTTTTGTTTGGACCAAGGAAAAAAACCTTCCGAAACTTTTTTAACACAAGCTCTTTCTCCAGTGCTTTTTAATCGAATAGAAAATAGAAACTCAACACCTACTAATACTAGACAGAATGCTCTGAAATACAGATTAAAATATAAGATATTAATAATTAATTATGTTTTATAAAAATGTAAGTTAAAAATTTAATTTTTTATTTTACTCTTATTAAATATTTTATATAAACATTTTGATAATAATAATTAAATTTCAATGCATATTTAAGAAAATAAAAAATAGAAGTATAATTGAAATAATAAAAATAATTATAAAAATTACTTAATATTTTATATTTTTAATTAAATAAGTAAAGCTGTTAAAATATGGCTTATATTGTAATAAGTACATACAAATCCAGATAAGAGATTTAAAATGAAAAATAAAACCGCAAAACCGTAAAATAAAATTCGCAGTTTCGCACCAAAAGAGTCGTTTTGGGGAGATTTATTGTAAGGTCCCAAATAAGGATTGTAAATACCATCAAATTCTATGAATCGATCAAAATATCATGAAATGCCAGGGTCTGTCGAAGTAAATAATTTTTTATGTTTAATTACCAAATTACCCCAACACTGCCCAATCCCAAGCCTCACTCTTACGATCAAATATTTGAGCCCTGAATCTTTCTCCTCTATCGCCAGGAGCGCAGGACCGTCGACACCACCCGCAGTCTGGATCTACCACTGCCGTCCAAGGTGGTGGAGCTTCTCAAGTCTCAAGATCTCACTCATGTGAAGCTCTATGATCACTGATGCCAATGTCCTTGCCAACGTCTAAGGCGGCGAACGTGTTTCCTCTCTCCTTCCACCGGGCAATCAGGCTTCACAATCCGCTCTTTTTTTCTTCTCACTCATCATCCCTTGCCACCCTAAATTAAAAGATTCAGAGTTCCCAGTACGAGACCACGCGCTGTGGTCTTTTTTATGATTTCGTTTCGTTTCACATGTCTTTGTTTTTTGGAAGGGCGGTGGTGGGGCTTGGTTGCTAATTATTATTAAATTAAAAAAAGGGGATAATGGCATGACGAGGATGGGTGAGGAGACAGAGAGATCAAGAAGAAGGACAGAGTGAAGCAGAGGCGGTGAAGGAGAAGAAGAGGACTTTGACAGACCTTGGGCGTCATGGGCAATGTAGTAATTGAACATTAAAAATTATTTACATTGACAGGCCTTGTATTCCATAATATTGTGACAATTTTACGGGACTTAAGACTATTTATAGTTTATAGTTTATAGTCTTTGCTTGGGACGCTGGAATAATTCTCCCTTTTTTCCCCTTTCAATCAACCGACCATAGAAAGCACAATTTCACCGGCAGGAAGGCAGCCAGCCGTGCTAGATCTCAGACACGCACAGAATCAAACGCCGTGGCAGAGGGCTGTGCCATCTAGTTCGCAGTTGAAACACAAGATTCTTCGAATCCGTAGTCACACTGCATCGAAGATACCTTCACGCCGATTTAACAAATTACTAAACGAGGTGCTTACTTTTTCGTCCCAGTGTCCACTCTGGATGCTGATTTCTTGTTTGTCTAGTTAATCCAATAATTTCGGGATTCAATTCTTGGTTTGCGGGTTCTCTGGTGCTGTTTCTCTGCTGTCATTTCAAAATCAGTTGTCTAAGCTTTGTTTGGTTGGTGGAAAGATTTTGCAATATAAATTAAATCTAGGCCCTTTTGCACTCTTACAAATCTTCTATCACAAAGGACTGCGCAGCGTTTAATCTTGGGCGGAAGAGCTTGTTTCCATGATTGGATGAAGGGAACGCCGGCTGTTTTCAATTCTGATTGCTTTGCTGATGTTTTAACGTCATCGTATTTTACTCCCTTTTGGATGCAGAATAAGAAACTTTACATGGGAACTGGGTTTTGCTTGTGGTGATTGTCGCCGTCACTGCAGGAAGTGAAAACCGAGTGGCTCTGATGGACAAAAACAAGGGTCGCACTGATATGCTTGCAGCTGGGAGAAAAAGGGTATCGCTCCATTGGCTATCTCGTTTAATTAGAACTTTCAATTATTTATTAACATAGCAACAACCAACTGCTTCTCGTCCATTTCAATACGTTGAGTGATAACTGAGTTTCGGTTGCATGATGGCAGCGCAACAATTGAGTTAATTATGTCACTGAACATACGCGGGGTTTATACTGTTGTTGCGTAGGAATTGGGATATAACTACACTCAAGAAAACAACGATGATCATTGAATTTGATCGTTTCAATTATTATTATTATTAATATTATTAGTTTTGGCTGGAAACTCCCCCCCCACAAGAAAAAAAGTGGATCTGAAATTACTTAGTTGGTATTAGTTCTCTATTCCTATTTAAATAATTAGATTAGATTCCTTAGCTATATGTATAAGGAATGGAGGTGAATGCTTGAAGATCAGAATTTTAATTATTATTTTTTTACTGTCAGCTCCAACAATTTCGTCAGAAGAAGGATAGTAAAGGCAGTAGTGGTGCCGGAATATCTTCAAAAAAATCTGGCAAACCCGAGCAGCATGAGTCTGATGCCGATGCTGCAACTAGCGTGCCTATGTCAATAGCGTCATCTCCTACTGTTGATGAGGAGGTGGAGACTGGCACTAATTGCAATTTGATCGGGACAGAATCATCAGGGTTGCAGTCTCTGGCAAATTCATCAACTCCTGAGATTAATGCCCTACCTGTTGATTCATCGTCAGTGGCCATTGCATATAAGTCAAATATCAAAGCAGAATTGGCTTCAAGTGTTGAGTTAGAACTTCAGGATCAGGGAGCAGCCAAAGCTGATTCTCAGCTGTCAGTCCAAAATGAGGGGGAAAATACTCTGGATGTTGGTACTGATATGGGAGAAGTTAATTTTGAAGGTGGAGTAATGAACGATCTTATGTCTGCTTTACCTGTCGTCTTGTCCTCACCTGCTTCAGTGGCAGCTGCAGTGTCTCATGCTACTAGAACTAGAGTAGAAAGAGAGGGTGAGGAGAAGAAAGGGTCTTTGCTTTTACCGGAGAGAATTTTCAATACATCCTCGACGCTAACAAGGGAAGATCAGGTAACAGATGTAGGTTGTGCTCTTCTCTTACCTCTCTTCATTTTATTCAAGGCTGCAACTTCTTTCTTTCTTTCTTTTTCCTGGATAATGTTGTTCTATTGGATTTGGCCGGGAAAACAGATTTGTGTATTTTATGTTTAATTATGATCTCATTTGTTGCTTGGTAGGGACAATGCAGGACGCTGACGGTTTGGAGGCAAACAATTCTTTTCAAACCTCTGCTGCTAAAATTGTTGGCCGAGAGAAGGCTCCTTTGCCTGAGGTCAGTGAGAATGCTCAGGCTATTTCTGGGATTGCTCTAAGGCAGACTGGAATTGAGGATGCATCTTATGAAGCAGACCAAATAGGCATGACAGTTGAAACATCTTCTTTTGAGAACATCACGTCAGACAATTTTTCAGCTTCTACTAAAAGTTGTGAAGATGCAGTGGTTGGAAAGGTTCTGAATAACCTGGAGGGAGAGGGATTTTCAGGTTTGATTCATGAAGAATTGCCTCATAAGGGGGAGAACGAGGGACTTCAGGAGGAGTTTAACCAGTGGCATACTCCTGTTGGATCTGTATCTGTGGATAAAATCCATGAATTGTCGGTGGGAGCTCATGAAGTAAGCTCAGACAGAACACCGGTCATCTCTCCTATTTCTGATGTGAACTCAATCAATCTCTTGCAGCTGACAGAAATTATAAACGGGCTTGGTGAAGAAGAGTATTCCTCTAGAAGAACTGTGTCTAATGTAGATCCTGTAGCCGGTGGTTTAGTTTTACCAGATTTTGCCTTTCTAGAATCATTTGAGAGAGTTAAAGAAGAATTTTTTCTAGCAAACTTAAGGAATGATATACTCACTTTGCAACTGACAGAGCAGCTGGAGCTTCAACAGGAGTCTGATAATCATCGTTGTCTGTTGATTGATGAACTATCTCACCTTCGAGCTTCACATAGTGAAATCAATGACAAGAATCATCGCCTTGCAGAAGAGCTTGCTAATTGCCAGATTGAATTACATGATGTTGTCAGCAAGAGTGTAGAACTGCAGAGCCAATACAATTCTGCCCTAGCAAAGGCTGAAGCACTTTCTGCCAGAGTAGTTGAGTTGGAGAATAGCTTTGAATTGTCTCGAAGAGATTCACTGGATCTGTCCAAAGAGCTGACTGACTGCATAGGCTTGGTCACAGCTTTGCAGATGGAAAACAAAGTCATGAGTGAGACACTTTCTTTGATGATTGGAGAGAGAAATAGACTTGTTGAGGAAAAGGAGATCCATCTTTTTGAAAGTAAAATGCTGTCAACAGAATTGGCTGACCTAAAGAGCTCAGTTGAAGGATTAAGAGCCGAAAATTCTGACCTAAATGCTAGGTTGTCTTTGGTGACTGAGGAGAGGAATAGGATTGAAATGGAGGCTGAGCATCTAACTCATGAGATTGACAAGCTGTCAGTAGAAGTTGTTGAAAGTAAGGATTTCGTGGCAAGTCTACAATTAGAGATTTCTAACTCCAACAACACCCTGGAATTATCATCTGATCAGAAAAAGATGCTTGAAGAGGACAAACAATCTGTTGTTCTTGGGGGTCTAACACAGAATCTACTTGAACAAGCGGTCTTAAATGACTCTTTTGGGTTTCTTTCCTTGAAAATGCACTTGGCTGAGATAGAGCAAATTTTGATGGGACTTGAAGAGGCTATTGACTGTGTGCACTCTCAATCAGGATCCTCTACCAGTTCTGGTGGTGAAGTTCCTTCCCCTGAGCAATCAAAATTGATGCACGCCTTTGACTCAAAAATACACCATAATCAGCATGAGTTGGAGAGAGGAGATTCCAGTGAAATTCTGATCCCATCTGATCTGTTTATGTTGACCAAAGAGCAAATTAAAAACTTCAGAGCATCGCTTGCAAAATGGAGGTTAAATGTTCAGAATGCAGGTGCATTGTTTAAGGAGGAATGGGATAATATAGGAACTAGTGATACCAAGCATAATGAACTCAAATATCAAGATGAAGCATTGCAACAACATTGTTCAGATTTGGAAGCATCCAACATTGAACTTGCAGTTCAATATGAAGCTGCAATGCAACTTCTTGGTGACATTCAAGAAAAAAGAAGTGATCTTGAGGAATTCTGCAAAGCTTTAAAGGAAGAAAACCTCTCTCACAAAGCCAAAAACAGTATAGTTTGTGCGGAGCTTGGAAAATGTCAGTTGAAAATTAGTCAATTGCGTTTTGATTTGTATGAGATGCAACAATGTTCAAGTCACATGGCTTCTGTTTTGGGTAGTCAGCTGGGAAACTTGCAAAAGGAGGTTACAGAGAGGGCAATGCTACTTGAGCAAGGGTGGAATACTACCATGGCTGAGATTGTTGAAATGGCTGGGAAGCTGGCTGAATCAGTTGGGAAAAATTTTTCTTCAGCCACCTTCACTGGCAGTTACAATAGTGCGAGTGCAGTTTCTGTGATTGCAGATCTTCGGAAGAAACTTGAAGCTGCTTATGCAGAACAGGGAACAGTGAGTACTCCGTATGAACAAATGAATACAAGGTGTAATGAGCTTCATGAGAAGAATGAATTGGTTGTTGTTACATTGAATAAAATATATAGTGACCTGAGGAAGCTTGTCCTTGAGCACTGTGGGTCTACAGATGAAGATAAGACGGATGTACAAGGTGAGCCATTGCCTGATCTACTGAACTATAGCATCTTTGAGAATATCATGAAATCTCTTGGGGACATACTGAATAGGAGGTTGGAACTTGAATCTGTCACCAGAGAGATTGAGTCAGAATTAATGCAGAAGGAAAAAGAATTGGAGGAAATGAACATGAAGTGTCTTGATTTAGATGTTGTTGGCAAGTTAGTTGAAGGAGTTGAAGGCGTGATGGAAGTGGATGATATTAAGATCAAAATGAACAAAGCACCCCTCTTATGTTTAGAATTGTTAGTAGCTACTCTTGTTCGGAAAACTAGAGAAGCTGAACTCCAGGAACAGATAGCTAAAGAAGGCTTTGGAGTTAAGATGATGGAATTATCTGAAATGCAGGAAAAGATATGTTATCTAGAAACCTTATGTACTGAGCATGAAAATGAAATTCTTATTTTGAGGGAAAGCTTACGTCAGGCTGAGGAAACTTATGTTGTTGTTTGTTCTGAATTGAATGTAAAGACTAGAGAATTTGAGCAGTCAGAACAACGGGTCTCTTCTCTAAGGGAGAAACTTAGCATAGCTGTTAGCAAGGGCAAAGGCTTGGTTGTGCAGCGGGATGGCCTGAAACAGTCCTTGGCTAAAACATCCAGTGAATTGGAGAGATGCTTGGGTGAGTTACGGTTGAAAGATACTATAATTCATGAGATTGAAGCTAAACTTAAGACATTTGCAGAGGCTGGTGAACGCGTGGAGGCTCTGGAATCTGAGCTTTCATACATTCGCAATTCAGCCAATGCCTTAAGAGAGTCATTTCTTCTTAAAGATTCATTGCTTCAGAGGATAGAAGAGATTTTGGAAGACCTAGATCTGCCAGAGCAGTTTCATTCAAGAAACCTAATTGAGAAGATTGATTGGTTGGCTAGGTTGGCTGCTGGAAACTCATTGCCTTTGAATGATTCAGACCAGAAGATTTCAGCTGAAGAAGGTTCTTTCTCTGATGCTGGCTTTGTTGTCATGGATGCCTGGAAAGATGTTCAGCAACAATCTGATTCAGGGGAAGATTTTAGAAAAAACTTTGAGGAGTTACAGAGTAAGTACTATGGGTTGGCTGAACAAAATGAAATGCTGGAACAGTCATTAATGGAAAGAAACAGACTAGTGCAGAGATGGGAAGAGCTTGTAGACAAAATTGACATGCCTTCACATTTGCGGTCTATGGAGACAGTTGATAGAATTGAGTGGTTAGGAAGAGAGCTTGTTGAGGTTAATCATTATAGAGATTCTCTGCAGCTTAAGATTGAACAATATGACAGCTATTGTGGATTGCTAAATGCTGATCTTGAAGAGTCTCAAAGGAGAGTGTCTGCTCTACAAGCAGACCTCAGAGCTGTTACCTCTGAGAGGAAGCATCTTTCTGACAGAGTGGAGTTACTGATATATGAATGTGAGAAGCTATCAGTGCAGGCAAGGGAAGCTGAACTTGAGAATGAAAAGCTGTCTGCTGAGGTAATTGGCCTGGAGGAGAAATTGAAGCAGAAATCTGCCGTTGAAGAGCAAATGCTTGGCATTGAGGGCAAGATCAAAGAATTGCAAAATTTAGTTGGTGATGCCTTGCAGGAATTCGAAACAGAATATTTGGTTTCTGGCAAGGAGGGTATTGATTCCTTAGAAGTACTGTTGAGAAAGTTCTTAGAGAATTATACAACTCTCTTGGCAACTAAACCAGCATATGGGGATGCACTTGATGGGCAACATACACTAGAAGCTAATGCTTCTCTTAAAGAGGCAAGGAGCCAGGATACTGATGATAAGAAGGAGACAGCTATTGATAGTTTGAAGAAAGATCTGGAAGAGGCTTTTCATGAATTGATGTGTGTGAAGGAGGAGAGAGATAGATATTTGGACAGCAAAATATCTTTATCTGGTGAAGTGGAAGCTTTAACTAAAATAGCCAAGGAGTTGCAGGAGCAGCTTAATCAGGAGGAACAGAAGTCAGCTTCTGTTAGAGAGAAGTTAAATGTTGCAGTCAGGAAAGGGAAGTTGCTGGTTCAACAACGAGACAGTCTAAAGCAAACAATTGAAGAGATGACTAGTGAGATGGGTTACTTGAAATCTGAGAACAACAACTGGAACTTGCTCTTGCAAAGCTTACAGAGAAGTTCAAGGATTTGTCTGGTTATACAGATAGGCTAGAAGTTCTTGAACTTGAGAATGCATCTAAGAAGAATGATCCAGTAAACAAGCTGGAATGGGTTGGGAAGCTATGCTCTGGTTTGCATGCTACTGTGGCTTCTCTAGAGCAAGAGTCCTTGAAATCTAAAAGAGCAGCAGAGCTCCTCCTGGCTGAGTTGAATGAAGTTCAAGAGAGGAATGATGCCTTCCAGGAGGAGCTTGTGGATATCAGAAAGGAAAGGGATTTAGCTGAGGCTGCCAAACTGGAAGGGATTTCTCATCTTGAAAGGCTATCAGCTTTGCACATGGAGGAAAGAAAGAGCCATTTTGCTGAGATCATGAAATTAAAATCTAGCTTAAACCAACTACACAAAGGCTTCAGTGACACCAGCACGTTAATGGCCAATGCTTTTTGCATGGATTTGGAATCTTTCCAGGGTCTAAAGGTTGGTCTTGAGTCATGCATGAAAGCCAAAAATGCTGCCACTCTTGTTGATTCATCTGTTGCAAGAAGACATGATGACATTTTAGGAATGTCATCTGATAATCAGGTATTTTTACTATATGGATGTTCATTTACTCCTTGTTTTGACGTTTTTTCTTTTGGCTTTAATCTACATCAACTTCCTCCATTTGGTATGATAACGAGAAATAGACAATGCCATAGTCTGTGCTGTTCAAATATGTTTTTTGATATATGTTTGTTGTAAATTAATGCTGGGTTTTATAAGTATAACAAACTGGGTGCTAGAGATATTTTTTTGCTAGTAGTTTACTTCAGGATTTACAGATTCTGTACATATTGATTACTTTTGATCACTTTTTTCTTCATTGTGATTTTTTATAATGTTGCTAGCTTTGTTTTTCTTCATGATATGGGGAATCTGGTTTGTCACGTCATTATTTTCCTGGGATGAGATAATTCGACACCTCATTGTTATTGTGCATCTTACTCATTCTTTCGTTCTATTTAATTAATTGCGTTTTTTATTAAAAAAATCACGTTTTTCTTCTTCAGAAGAGCTTTGTTTCTGTGGATTCTTGGTCAGAGATGATTGGCGATGTTGATGATAATAACTTGATTGAAAATTTTCGTCTTCTTGGGCATCAACTGCAAAATTTATTGGGGGAGCTTAGTTCTCTTAAGGAAAGCGCGTGCGCGCACTTGAGTTTGGCACAGGAACAGGGCAAAACATTATCTGAACTAGTGGTGAGCATTCAAAGGGATATGATATCACAAAGGGAGTCCTGTGAAGCCATGAAGAAAGAAATTGGTGAAAAGGATGGGGAACTACTTGTTTTGCGTGAGAATATTGCCCGCCTTTATCAAGCATGTGCCAATTCGATTGCTGTAATTGAATATGGAAAAGCAGATCTGGTTGCTAATGAGTCAGCATCTTCAGAGCTAGGGATTAATTTCCAATTGACACCATTTGAGGATGGAATACTTCCTTCCAGTGGTGAGTTTCTTTTAGTGTCAGAGGAATATATCAAGACTCTAGCAGATAGATTGTTGTTGGCTGCAAATGAATTTGATAGTATAAAAACTAAAATTCTGGATGCTAATCAAAAGGAAATGAAGGCTACTATAACAAGTTTGCAGAGAGAGCTTCAGGAGAAGGATGTTCAAAGGGACAGGGTCTGCATGGACCTTGTAAATCAGATTAAGGCTGCTGAAGGTGCAGCGAACAGTTACTTTCAAGAACTTCAGTCTTCAAGAATGGAAGAGCAAAATTTAGTCAAACAGATTGATGAGATTGAGGCTGAAAGGAAGATACTGGAGCAGAAGGTGAATGCTCTGCAGGATAATCTAGTAACAACTGGTGAATTAGAGGAGAAAATCAGGTGCCAGGCAGATTTGTTGTCTAGCAAAGACCAAGGTGAGCTTTGTCTGATTTCTTGTGTTTTTAATTTAGTAAACTTGTACTATATTTATATTTTATTTATGATAGAACTCACTGTTATTTTGGAACTTATGGATTACTGCAGAAATTGAGGCACTAACACAAGCACTGGATGAGGAAGAGGTGCAGATGGAAGAATTGACGAAAAAGATTGAGGAACTTGAAAAGGTTGTTCAGCAGAAGAATCTGGAGATCGAGAATCTTGAAGCTTCTAATGGTAAGGTTACAAAAAAGCTTTCCATCACTGTAAGCAAGTTTGATGAGCTTCACCACCTGTCTTCAAGTCTACTTGCTGAGGTTGAAAATTTGCAATCCCAACTACAAGAACGGGATTCTGAGATTTCTTTCTTAAGGCAAGAGGTTACCAGATGTACCAATGATCTTCTTGCATCACAAATAGCAACAAGAAAAGTTCAAATGAGATCCTTGAGTTCTTGATGTGGGTTGACATGATGGTCTCTCAAGATGGGCTGCGTGATATGCATCCTGAAGTGAAGGGTAATACTCAGGCTGATGAATACAAAGAAGTACTTCAGAAGAAGCTTATATCTTTGCTATCAGAAATAGAGAATTTAAGGGCAGTTGCAGATAGTAAAGATGCAATGTTGCAAGTAGAAAGTATGAAGGTAGAAGAATTGACCCACAAAGCTGCAGCTTTACAGAAGTCTTTGCATGAGAAAGAATCACGGCTAAATTTGCTTGACGGTGTGGAAGAGTCTGTAGAGCAAGCCATCACAAGATCAGAAATTGTGGAAGTTGAACCAGTGGTGAGGCAAAAATCTCATCTTTATATGTTTCTGGTATTGCTTGTGGAAAGGGAATATGCCGATTTATGTACCACTAGCACATAGGTAGCTTAATGCACTATTTCACTATGGTTAAATTATATTATATATCTATATATATTATGAAAGAATAAAGTTTGCATCTGGATGGTGATGGTAGGAAGTGATGAGATCTGTTAGCATCAAGTGCAAGTTATATAAAGTTACTGTCTTCTTGTCTCATGTTCATGGGGGTCTTGACTAGTTTTGACTATTTATTGGCTTTTAAGCAGATCAACAAGTGGAAAGCAGCCGGGACTTCTGTAACACCTCAAGTTCGCAGTTTGCGCAAGGGCAATAATGATCATGTTGCCATTGCTATCGATGTAGACCCTGGTAGTACTAGTAGGATGGAAGACGAAGAAGAGGACAAAGGTAAATCTGCGCTGCTTTACCAGTTGTTTGTTTTTTATCTAGACCGAATGTAGTTTTCTTATTAATTTTTCTGGTTTCCATTTTGTGCCACAGTACATGGATTTAAGCCACTCACTTCATCAAAAATTGTCCCGCTTCCAAGATTTACTAGACCTTTGACTGACATGATTGATGGCTTGTGGTAGATTTACTCTTCCTCCTCTTTGTATTGCTTTGATAAAAGTTCTCCTTTAAAAATAAGGAATGTTTTAGTCTTTATCATGCTTTCACATTTTTGCAGGGTATCGTGTGATCGAGCTCTGATGAGGCAGCCTGCTTTGCGACTTGGAATTATAATTTATTGGGCCATAATGCACACACTCCTAGCCTTTTTTGTGGTTTAGAATGGGAATCTCTGATTTAGTCATCAGTCAAGTTTAGTATTTGTATATTTGATTGGCCAATTTTTTGCTGCCATCTTATAAAATTGGGCATAGTTGATTCTGGCAGATGAGTAGGAAAAATTTAAATGTATAGCATGTTTTCTTTTTGTTGTGGTTGTCACAATCATCTATAAAATACTGTCATGAGTACATAAAGATACAATTGCTGGAAAGGGTGCAGACTTCAGACAACATCGAAGAAAAGGTGAATCAGTGGCAATGAGCGAAGAGCCTGAAGCATTTCACCTTTGATTAAGCTACAATGATGAGCTTTTGGAGGACAGCCCTTGTTCCCCGGAGAAGTCATGGAACATATTGATAGCAGGATGTGTGATTAGACGGGCTTAGCTAGGAAATCGCGATTCTTTTGTTCCTTGGATCTTTGATTTTGGTGTCAATTCGATCTACTGAGCCATAAGAAATTTCAAGGTTGCCCATTCCTTTTGTATTATTGTATCAATCATAGCTTCGTTATGAATGTTTCAGATTATTGAGAATGACATCATACATACCGGTAATACTGGCAATATTTGCCTTAGGTTTCAGGAAAATGACAATACAATTTTAAAAAATAAATTAATGATAGGTAAGTTTTTAATAAATTTTTTTATAAAATAAATTATAAATATCAATTCAAACAGTTATAAACGAGAATTTAAATTGTAAACTAATTATTATATTTAGAATTTAAATATTGTATTTACAATTAAAATTTTTAAATTAACAAATGTTTAAATTGATATTTATATTTGATTTTTTTTAAAAGAAACAAATTGTCAGGCAGTCATAAATTTTCTCTTATAGGATTTGACTGTTATTCTCCCTTAGATTTACCCGAAAAAACAGTCATTTACATTAAAATAACCAAACAGTTCTGACCAAATAATAGCCTTGATTGAGGAGCTTTTTTTTTTTTTTTAAATGAGATTCAGAAGCCTTTTCTGGAATATAAAATAATGGCAGAAAGAAAAGTTAACAGTAAAATCCCAATATCACCGTGGACGTTGTCATTCTTTTAGTGGTCAGCTACTTGTTCTGTTTCTGATTTCCCATTTAAACGTATGGAACCTGAAGCTTAATCTAAGATGACGGACATCTAATGTTAAGAAGATGACAACAAAGAGCTAAAATACTTGAGATTTGTCTTGTATGTCAATGAACAGTAAGTTACAGGAGATTGTTAAGTTTCTCTCAAAAAAGTGACCGTATGTAAATTAAAAGTGGCAAGAAATAAAAGAAAAAAGCAGCGGTTCCTATACTTGAATTCTTACATTGCTTTCGAATAGATGTTTAGATACAAAGGTTACATGAAAGGTTTGAAAAGTGCTCAAGTTTTCTTGTTGGGCCCAAAGACATACTTGATGATGGAATCTTTGATAGGCAATATCCCTGGAAATTCTTGCTTGAGCTTTGATGCATCCATTTCATTGTCACTCCTGGGAGCAGCTATCACCTTCGCCTGTTGTTCCAAATTAAAATTTTCCCAAATGAATTGGGGGTCTATATAATCTCTGTACAATTCTAATATCTGATTGTGATTTATCACTCCCGGATTGGTGAAGTTCCATATCCCTCTCAAGTTCTTCCTGGCCATCCTGATTGACATGGGTAGGAGCTCATCTAACACTGTCATACTATTTGGTATGTTCACCACCTTCCTGTAACGAGTAATCTTTGTGATCAAGTTTCTTGGGTTGCTGAGATCTGATGATATTGGCATTCTAACTCTGAGCGTGCACACATTTTCATAATTTTTCATGAGATCTTCTACCTGCGTGTGTTTTGCCATAATGTCAATGACATTGCTATAGAAAATATGCATGGTAAGCTAGTTGAGAAAATAGAACCCCTCCATGCTAAAGTGCGGTCCTAGTATTTGTGAAAAGACAAAGTGAGGTTGGAGCAAAAAAAAAAAAAAGAAGCCTTTTTTCCAAACCATATCAAATTTACCTCAATCAAAGTCAAAAGAAGACGATGATGGTGAAATGATAGAATGAAGCATTACCATGGCCTTGGTCTTTGAATAGAAGGAACCAATGAAATTTGGCTTGTCCTCCTCCTTGAAGCCAATGCCTGATCCTAGAGGATGCTCCTCATCATACTCAAATATGCAACCAGTTGCAAAATTCATCATATATAAACCCTGTTCCCTGCAAACATCAGCCAGAGTTAAGGTGCCCACCACATTAGTCCTTATTGTTTCTACTTTATGTGATTCACACCAATCAACATTTGGTCTCCCAGTGTCTCCTGCTGCACTTAACACATGGGTTGGCCTTACTCTCCTTATATCCTCTAAAAGTGATCTCCTATCTTCCAGTCTTCCATTCCCATACTCCCAAGCTATTCTCTCTTCATTACAAAGCTTTCCTAACAACCCCCCTATCCAACCAGTCTTCCCATATATCAGGAATTTTGTGTCTGAATTGCGTTTAATGTCGGTGTATGACCTTGCTAGTCTTGCAAATCCATATTGAAAGGACCACACTGGTTCATCAGAGAGATTGATTGCTGAGAAACGTGGATGTGGGCTCAAAGCAGTAGACACATCACCCCACCAATTAGGATTTTCTTTGTACCAATCTATGGTCATCTTAAGTCCTTCCTCCCAAGAAATTTTCTCCTCCCACCCCAGCTTCTTGAGCTTTTGATCATCCAGAAAATATCTTTTGTCATTGAAAGGCCTGTCTCTAACATACTCTATGACTTGTTTAGGATTCAGTTGAAAGCGCTTGCATATCTCCTCTGCAATATGCAGCACACTCCTCTCCTTTTTAGTGCCAATATTATAGACATGTCCAATCACCCCCTTGTGGAGTATGACATCAAATGCTTCTGCAACATCCTCGCAATGGAGATAGCTTCTCACATTTGATCCATCCCCATGGATTGGCAATTTCTCACCTTTCATGGCTAAAAGAATGAATTTTGGTATAAGCTTTTCAGGGTACTGTTTGGGACCATACACGTTATTGCCCCTAGTTGTTATAACTGGAAGACCATAAGACCGATGATAAGCTTTGAGCAGCATTTCTGCTCCAGCTTTTGTTGCTGAGTATGGATTGGAAGGAAGAAGCCTAGACGCCTCGTGATTGCCTATGTCGGTGTCCAAGTCAGTCTCGCCATAAACTTCGTCAGTACTGACATGGATGAACCTTCTTATGCAATTGGTGACCCTGCAGGCCTCAAGAAGCACGTGGGTGCCATATATGTTATTGTAGGTGAAATCCATGGAGTTTCCAAACGAATTATCGACGTGGGTTTGACCGGCAAAGTGCATGACTGTGTCTATTTTCTCCTTGATCATAAGGTAATTCACAATGTCAACACTGGCTATGTCAGCCTTGATGAATTTGAAGTTTGGTGATGTGGAGGACGACCTGAGATTCTTGAAAGTAGAGCAATAGTCCAACTTATCAAGAGCTACAATGTTGTATGAAGGGTACTTATGGATTAGCCTAGCAGTGACATGACAGGCTATGAAACCAGCTGCTCCAGTTATGAGGATGTTCTTCGGCTCATACGGCCCTGGTTCAGTTGACATGTCTGTTGTTTAATCTATGATTCGCTATATCTACAATGTAGTTTAATATGCCTATCAAAATAAGAACGAGAAGGAGAAAGAAGAAGTCATATGTGAAAGTAACAAACTAATGAAGCCATTGTAGCAGTCAATCAAGAGACAAGATTAATGCAATCCAGACTGACATTGTAGCAAATTAATGTATCCTTCGAGAAACAGTTAGGTTGGGAAATGATATTAAGAGGGAGAGGAAGATAAGACGTTACTTGGTAGAGGAAAGGAATGTGAATGATGGTTGGGAAATGAATCAGGTAAATGGCAGAACATGGAAAGTGAAAATAAGAATGGAGGAGAAGAAAAGCTGGAAGAGAGACGGATCTTGATTGCTGTTTGTTGAAGTGTTGCTCATGTTAGAACATGGCTAATATTTTACAAACACGTGCACTGTGATCCGACCATTTTTCCACACCTTAATTTAGTTTAACACCCCTAACCTCTCATGATCCTATTTTTCAGATAATGTCTTTCTTAAGAATCAAATTACTTTAGACCTTCTTTCAATGAATTATGTCATTTTTTTCATGTGTGTGTATTTATCTATTTCTCTCTTTTTTATTGGAAAAAGAATATGAAAGTTATTTAAATTGTATATCATATATTAAAAATTGTCCATAACGCTACATATTGTAAATTACTTTACACAATAAAAATATATCTGAAAATATCTTTTATATTCGTTCTAAAAGAAGATATCTCTCGTATGAATTTAAATTGAGTTCCCAGATTACACTATAGTGTGCATAAGATTTATCTTAATGCATGTTATGTTAATTAATTATAATACTCTCCAAATCTAGAATTTTATATTTTTTAAAAAATTAATCAGCTGAATATTTACAGCTCACACATGTTAATAAAGATTTGAATCTCATTTTGATCAAAAAAAGAAGAAGAAGAAGAAGAAGATTTGAATCCGCTATGAGCACAGCTCGCCACTGTGATCTTCAATTTGATTTTCAAAATATTGCTTATTATGATGCATAATTTTATATTCGAGGAAATTAATATTAATATTATTGTAAAGCACTGCCTTTGAAATTCAAGCTAGATTTTATTCCCCGTTCTCGAAGGTGAATGAACGTGTATATGGAATGAGATTGAGTAATGTTATCAGTATACTTGTATGGTGATTATAAAAATGAGAAGTGAGTTTTGTTTTGCAGTGATAATGAGGTTGTAATTAACACAATGTAATTTAAAATAAATTAGCATGGGATTTGAAGAGTGACCGGGATGACATAAAAAGGAATAATTTTGCCAGCTGAACAAAATATAAGACGGTACAATTGAAATTGTTAAAATCTCACAAGAGCTCTTGCAAAACAACAATGAACTTGTTATTTTTACTTTCAATAATAGAATATGGATAAGATGATTACAAAAAACATGGGTGAGCTATGATATATTAATGATGAATTAATTAAATTCAGAAATTTTTGATACAAGTGATGAACATTTAGAGTCAGTTGTAATGGAGGCAATGCTTAAAATATTGAAACTTGGCATATTTATTGTTAATAAATAAATCGTTAGTAAAATTATCCTTGTTCCTGTTGTTGAGTGAGATGGAACAATTGGTCTTTTTGGGAAGGACCATGTCATGCTTTTTCTGGAGAATGGAGAAGGGAAAAATTAATATTAGAAAAATTGATAAAAACATATTCAAAATAAAAGATTTATAAATATAAACAATAACAATATTTATAAATATATTTAAATATTGTGTCAGACAAGACTAATTGATCATGAGAACTAGTCTGAAACTGAGTCTTACTTTGGACAGCTAACTTAGACTAGCATTTGAATTGGTTTTTTAATTTTAAATTAAATTAAATTGGGTTGGATTGGACTTGATTAATTGGGTTTCGGACTTTTTGCACAACCCTGTATAGAAGTATTAAAAAGAGTGTTTCTGAATTTGAAAAAAAAAAAAAGCAGTTGAAGTAAAATTGGGGAATAAAAAAGAGTGGTCTTGAATTTGGAAAAGGAGGGTATAAGGTAAAAATCAATCAACAAATGGCCTGGAGCCCAAAGCAAACGGTCACTATTCATCTGAGTCAGGACTCTGTATCTCACAATGAAGTATGAGAGGAGCCATGTGGAAAATCAGCTTGGCTTAACAACAATTAAAGAAAAAGATTGATGTACTTTAAAATAAAGGTAATCTTGAATTATTTTATGTAATAATTTATTTCTTCTAAATTATAAGATAATTTAAAATAAATTTTTGTATATCAATAAATTCAATAATATAATTTTATAAATTTCTTTTTTTAAAATAAAAATACAAATTTTTAAAAATATCTGCATTTAACATATTTTAAATATACAATCATTTTGACCTTCTTTTCATTTAAAAAGTAATATTAAAAAAATAGTGTTAATGAAAATTTATTTTTATTAAATTATTTTATATTTTGAGATAATAAAATTTTTTAATAATATTTTATAATATGGGAAAAGGGAGTAGTAAAATAAAAAAGCAGAGGATAAAAAAACCTTGGGGCTTTTACGATTTCGGTCCGAGGGAATTTTTGATGCAAGGACGAGTTGGAATCGAGGGCTATTTTACGCAATTACGCTACGTTAAGTCTGAAATATAAAAAAATGATAAGAGTAAAAGACACGACACCATGAATTAAAAAAAGAAAAAGAAAAAGAAAAGAAATAGTAAGACACGATATTTATATAGTGCACGAGCAAGGCATCGGGTATTTTTCTCCAATCTTGGTAGCTGACTTGGATATCAATCCTAGGGCGAATAGTAGTGGGAGGCGGCCGAAGCTAGGGTTTCTCGCTGGTCCTTCATCACATCGCTTCAGGTTTAGATCCCGCTTCTCTGCTATTCAGGTTATTTTGTCTCGCGTGTTTCCCGGAAGCCCTATAAACGCATGTATATGTTTCCAATTCATACCAGGGCTTGCCTTTTTTCTTTGAATTGAAGCCCGGGCTCATGTTTTCTTGAACATATATTCATTGTCCATGTGCTGGAGCAGGTTCTTCTGAAAGGTCGAAGCCATGTCTCGTGTTTATGTTGGTAACTTGGACTCAAGAGTTACTGAGAGAGATCTTGAAGATGAATTCCGTGTATTTGGAGTCATACGAAGGTAGCTTTCCTGTTATTGCAAGTCTTTTTTCGTAATTTAGAGAAAGTAGGTGAATAGGTGAACTTTACCATGTCACTGTTTGTGTTGACGAATTTTTGCATGGACTGGTATCGTCACATCGAAGATGCGAACTTTATAATTATACGAATATGATAGCTGGCGTCTCTTGTTGTGGATTGGACTTCTATGTAGTGAGCTCCAAATAGGCAGGACTCCTCTCAATTTTTTCGTTGTGGGGTCTGCAATTTTTACCTCACTGAAGCTTAGAATTTAACCATAGGCTTCGCAGAGTTTCAGTTTCTTTTCGTAATTTAACTCTACTTAATTGTTATGCCCAAAAACCCAGGCGACTTGTGCATTTAGGCTGAAGATGTCAAGTCTATAAAAAATATGTCTAAATTGTCATTCCTAGTGGAAAATGGCAACTTTTTTGCTTCAAGATTGTGGAAAAAAATTTGGTAGGAAATAATAATAATAATAATAACATTTGAACTTGCTTACATGGCCACCAATTGCTTGTCTATTAGCATTGTTGGGATGTAGCATGTTGCGCTGCTCATGATTTTTATTTGTGCAGTGTGTGGGTCGCAAGGAGGCCACCTGGTTATGCTTTTATAGACTTTGATGACCGCAGAGATGCCCAAGATGCTATTCGGGAATTAGATGGTATGTTTCAGAGCATTTATTGCGATGCTTTCTAAATATGTTTGCAAATTTCTATTAATATTTTGTTTATTTTACTTGCTAATTTGTTATTGTTTTGCCCCCTTTTCTGGTTGATATGTTGAAGGGTTTCCCTCGACTTCCTATTTAAGTCTTTTTCATTTGAGGAAGCTATAGGCCTACGTGCTAGCAGATGCTCTCTTTCTTCTACTTCTGCCTTGCAAATCTCTTCTGCAAGCAGGCCTGCAGTAATGGTTTTCCCACCAGTCTTCATCAAAGACTGCTGATTTGTAGAGATTGACTGTATGTGAAGGGAAATAAGAATGTGAACTGAGGAATTGCACTGGTTTGGAGGGTTATGGCAAAGCTACACATCTGTTACATAATGCGTTTGTTTTATGAGATGTATGCTACTGCAATTAATCTATGGGACATGTGAGTGCTGCCTGTGTTAAATGTATATTCCTATGAGCAGTTTGAGCTCCAATAGATTAATCTACCCATGGGCCATGTGAGTGATATTTGAGTTCGATAACCAATGCCACCTACTGCTTCTTACTTTTAATCCACATGTTAGGAAGTTACCTTCTTACTATATTGTTTTGTTGGAATTGATTTATAGTCTTGTATGATACAAGTAGAAGATATGGTCGATTGTTTTCTTTCTCTTGAATAAAGTGGCTATAGATTTGGATTGCTGTATTTATTTTTCTTCTTATTTAGCCTTTTCATTTTTGTTTCAATGATCAGGTAAGAATGGTTGGAGGGTAGAGCTTTCCCACAATTCCAGAGGTGGAGGTGGTGGGCGTGGAGGTGGTCGTGGTCGTTCTGGTGGATCTGATCTGAAGTGTTATGAGTGTGGTGAGCCTGGTCACTTTGCTCGTGAATGTCGCATGCGTGGTGGTTCAGGAAGACGTCGCAGTCGCAGTCGCAGTCCGCCACGATTTCGAAGGAGCCCAAGTTATGGGCGAAGGTTAGATTGTTGTCTCATAGTTTGATGTGTAATCATAATAAGGACGAAGGAGAGTCGTTAGTGGTTGGTTAGTTAGTTAGAAACATTAGTATTTTAGCAGACGGGTCTGACTTAGATTAATACTATATATATGTGCTTGAGATGTACTTGATTGATATGTTTAATAAAATCTCTCAAGTGTTATCCAGAATTCCCTCTCTAGTCCTTAATTCTTCTCTCTACTCTCTTTCTCTACCCTATTCTTCCACATTCTTCTCTACGTTATACATCAGTTGCGTCAGAGCAATTGATGCTGGGATTGTATGTGAGAAACTCAATTACAGAAGCAACAAAGAAACATGATAGAAACAGCTACTGTTACCTTCAAAAAATTGAAGGAAACTTTAGTTGCTGCACCTTTCCCTGCTCTTCCAGACTTTTCTAAAGGACTTTATGGTTCAAACTAATGCTTGCAACTCTAGAATTGGGGGTGTTCTGATGCAACAGGGTCAACCTATAGCCTTTTTCAGCATGGCCCTAGCTCCTTGTCACCTGGATCTTTCTATCTATGAGAAAGAGTTCCTTGGTGTAGTGCAAGCTGTAGAGCATCAATATCTCTGTAGTCTCATATTTGCTGGATCAGAAATTAAAGATAGAATTCCAAACGTATTGGGTGACTAAGCTTATAGGTTATGATTATGAAATACATTACAAAAAGGGCAATGACAATAATGCTCTTGATGCTCTTTCTAGGACGCCTAATTGAGTATTTTGAGTTTTCCTTCATGCTTGTTCAGATTTTCTTTTTCTAGAAATTTAGAGAAGTTGGGATGATGATGTGGAGTTAAGAAGTTTGAAGGCTCATTTGCAACAGTATGGTGGTGTAGAAGGCAAATATACATGGGATGGTCAGTTCTTGAGATAAAATGGTCAGGCTGGTTGTGGGCATTATTCCAAGTGTGTGGCATAAAATCTTGGAATGGCTTCATGCTAGTCCACAAGGAGGACATTCTGGTGTGCAAGCTACTTATCAACAGGTTAGAAAACTATTTTGGTGGCAGAAATTATTTGAGGATATTAAAGATTTTGTGAAGCATTGTGATACATCTGCTCAGTGTAAATGTGAATCAGTGGCTCGTGGGTTATTACAGCCTCTTTCTATTCTGAGCAAGGTTTGGGAAAGTGTAACCATGGATTTTATTGAGGGATTACCCAAATCCAATGGCAAGGACACAATTTGGTTAGTTATCGTTCATTATAGCAAGTATGCACTTTTTGTGCCACTATCTCATCCTTTTACATCATCTACACTAGCACAGCAGTTTCTTGATCATATTTACAAACTATATGGAACTCTAGTTGAGATTATAAGTGATAGGGACCCCTTCTTTATCGATAATTTTTGGAAGGAATTTTTGAGGGCTGACCAGAAACCTACTTCCTCTTACTATCCGCAAACGGATGGGCAGTTAGAAGTGCTCAATCATTGTTTGAAAAATTATTTGAGGTGCATGTGCTAGGGAAATCTTAAGGAGTGGTATAAATGGCTTTCTTTGGCAGAATGGTGGTATAACACTTCTTACCACACTTTTGCAAAAACTACTCCTTGTGAATTGCTATATGGGCAGGCTTCTCCTTTACATATTCCTCACATCTGCCTAGAGATGTGACTGTGTAAGCTATTAATAGAACATTAGTAGCACGAGAGGAAGCTCTAGGGATGTCAAAGTATCATCTTAATTGGGATGTCAACAGGATGAAACGAAAGGCAAATCTACATTGGAGTGATAGAGCATTTGAGGAAGGATGGTGGGTGTTTGTAAAGTTCCAACCTTATTGACAGATTTTTGCAGCATCAAGGAGCTCTTAGAAATTAGCTCAAAGGCACTTTGGACCATATTGAATTTGTCAAAAGATAGGTCCAGTGGCGTAAAAATTGGAGTTACCTTCAAAATCTTTAGTACATCCCACTTTTCATGTGTTTCTGCTTAAGCTCTACCATTATCCAAACATGAAGCCAAGGCATCCACTTGTTCCTTCAAACCTTATCTCATAAAGGATTTAAAATAAATGGATGGGAAGAAGGAAGGGTAGAATTATATTTGAGGTGCTAGTATAGTGGAAGGGTCTTCTTGATGAAGAAGAGAGTTGCGTTTCTATTAGTTGCAGAAGCAGTGCCCTTCTTTTGTAATTTTTGACCCTGAGGACAAGGGTTCTTAAGGGGGGATTGATGTGTAATCATAATAAGGAGGTGGGAGAGTCATTAGTGGTTAGGTAGTTAGAAATGTTACTATTTTAGCATACGGGTTGGACTTAGATTGATGCTATATATATAGCCTTGAGATATGCTCCTTTTGTCTCAATTTATAAAACATTTTTAGACAAAATCTCACGTACAAAGAAACCTCATTAAATACATTTAACTTTATCTTTCCAAAATAAAAATATAAACTTTTAGAAATACTCATCATTTAATATATCGAAAAGAGAAGAGATGGAAATTAATTATAAAGAGAAAAAGGGTAATATTGAAATTAGTACATTTAATAAAATCTTAATCTATTTAAAATGAATTGTATTTTGAGATGGAAAAATTTCTTTAAAAGTGCCATATAATTGGGGATGGAGGGAGTACCGGATTGATATTTTCAATAAAATCTCTCAAGTATTATCTAGGATTCCCTTGCTAGTCCTCAATTCTTCTCTCTACTCTCTTTCTCTATCCTATTCTTCCTTGTTCTTCTCTCCCTTATACATCATAGTCTTTGTTGTGTGCACTTGTGTAGAGTAGCAAAAGGTTGTGTTGTATTTTTTTTATATGATTTTGGATTCATCCATGTTCTTATTTGAGCCCCCCATATCTGTTATAGCGTTTAACTTTAGTTTCCATAATTTTAATGAAGTTCTCTTGAATGTGACTTGATGATTGTGATAAACATTGGAAAATTATAGAAATATTTATAATCTTCATATTTATCATTTTTTGCTACTTTATATAACTTAAGATCCTTGGTGTTGGTTTTCTCAAGTTGGAAGTTGGTTTCATAGTTACTATTTGGGGAGATGTAGTACCCCCCCAACTATGCAATTTTCTAATTTCTTGAGTGTTTTGTTTGTGAAGTAGGAGTTATAGTCCTCGTGGTCGGTCTCCTAGGCGTCGCAGTTTATCACCTCGAGGACGCAGCTATAGTAAGTCACCTCCTTACCGTGGACGTGAGGAGCCACCATATGCTAATGGGTAAGCTTATATTTTTTTAGACTTGATTTCCATTTTCACATTAAGTACTGTTTTGTGGATGAGCATCAATATTTTTACCATCAGTTTCTTATAGGGTGAATGTTAACTTGTATAGCATATAGATTTGTATTATCGAACATTTAACATGGCTTGTAAATTTAGGTGGCTTCAACTTTTCCTACCTGGAGGGATAGGGCTTCTTATTGTTGTTTTTTGACATGATTAATACTTGTTTTTATTTGTTTTGTTTATTATTACTAATGAATTCCAAATGTTTGATCTTGGCTGTTCTCCCTATCCCTCCTTTCATGCTATCCAAGTCTAAGAGGTGTCGATAACAAATAGGATCATAATTTTGTAGGTTGTTTCCTTTTCTATGTTAAAGTGGTTACAAGCATATTTGTTTTGTGGAATCCTCGTCATATTGTTCTCTTTTGTAAATGCTGACAAGTGGTCAGTGCTGTTTTGTGGAATACTCTTGCCGTATTGTTTCTTTTTATTTATGCTGACAAGTGGTCAGTGCTGTAATCAAGGTCATCATTATATGTTCATACTGGTGATATGGTATGTGCTAATATGCAGGAATGGTGCAAGGGATCGACGCCGAAGCAGAAGTTGATTTAAAAGTGTTGGCAACTGTGTTGTTCAAGTGGATATTGAAATTTTGTTAAACTAGTGTGCTTGCACTGCGGTTCAAGTCTGTTTAGATGGGCAATGCCCTGAACATCCTACTCTTGGATTGGACTAGTTACTTTCTTGATTTCTCAGCTTGTGTTCTTTATTCTATGCAGGACGCATGTAGTTCCATTACAGGTAATAGAGTATTTTCATGGTAGTTGCTATCGCATTGTTTAGAGTTTGAGCTTTTGCTAAAATTTATGCTTTTGTTTTGTTTTGTTTTGAGGTGTCTTCTGGTACTGCTTCATTGGTTTTGTGCTTCTGCATTCCCTGGGATATCGTTCCTGGCTGCCCTTCTCTGGGATCTCCAATTTTGAATAGTTTTGGGTCCCATCCAGCTACATGCTTCTGTTTGAGTCTCGTCACTTGTGATTTGCGCACCTCAAACTCTATTGGCATTTCTTTTTATTAACTTAAAAGGGGTTGACGGCCTGCATCAAATACTTCTGGCAGTGGCAGGTATTCAATCTGTTCTACAGAAGTTGGGCTTGTGGGTTTTTTTTTCCTGAATGTCACATTGAAATCTAGATTATTAAGATTGAGAAGGGGGGGATCTGTAGACACAGATAAGAACTGTGGGCCTAAAAACATTAATATTTTTTATGCATTCAGCATGACTCTATTCGCCCGTTCTCAATTTAAAGGAATTTAAGCAACTCAACGTTTTCATTATGTGGTGTCGGCATGTCTTCTCCCCAAATCATGTGAATTTCAGAATAGTTTGTTTGAAACTTGCCCCCGTTTTATGGAAAGTTGATGCTTGGTTTGGAGACCGTGTAACTTCAACAGGATATTAAAAAAAAATCACCTTCCTTACAATTCCTTGAACCTAACATCATGCCGGTGGTCTTGGATTTCAGTGTTGTAGAAACCTGATTTGTGTTGATCATGTCATAAGTTTCCCCTGATCGACTGGCTTGAAAATCATGTGATCGGCAGCTGTCCTGGGTTCTTCCTGCTGGTGTGGTCTGTTGCATCAAGCTTTATTTTGACCATTTTCTTTTTTATTTTTTTTGGTTAAATTTTTTATAGGCCACAATCGTTTAGGTAAACAATAACTCGCAGCGTTTGGCAGGCTTGCGGGTATTTCCTTGAAATTAATTTATGATTTGGTGTTGGGTTTTTTTGTGTTGTACGCTGTTCAGTAATGAAATAAACTTGCAGCAGGGGCCTGGCTTGTGACTGATACTAAATCAGGTAGGCAGGATGAAGATATCATGATATGTTGGGGTAGGAATATGTTGAGTCTTGTCGGCCATGCATAGGAGTACAAGGTTAGATGTCTGAGTCGCGTCAGCGATTCATAGGGTTACTTTAGCCTGCATTAATATGAAAGCAAATGTAGCTTTTATCTGCTTGAACCTGCATTAATTGCATCCGATGGTGGTAATGAGTTGATGATGGCCGTGAATCTTCTTGGTACGAATCACTCTTTGCTTTCCTCTGGGACTATATTGCCATGCGACCAGCGTGTGAAACATCGGCATTCTTCTATTCGGATGAAATGCTTCATGTCAAACCCATTTTTCTTGTAAATGAAATGGGTTTTGTCCTTTCCACAACTTGTTTTTACCCCGCTACATCTGTCATTTTAGTGCAGGGAGTCCACTACTTTCATGTACAAGTATTTTGCATTTTATTTATTCATGTTGTGTCCTTTTGACGTCAAAGAGTTCTTGTGCCTTTTTTTTTTTTTGTGGGAAAAAAATTATCCTATTATTGTTACATTCATAATAAAACATGACGTTAATGGCCGCCCTTAGACTTAGCAACTTTTGAGCTTTTATAATTGGGAAAACTGTGTATATGCTTTGCATAAGAAAATTAATTATTACAAGGTTTATTAATAATTGAATTAAAGGTATTGTGTTGTGGTTTTAGTTTGATTGTTGACGAATCTTGTGTGAAATTTTAATATAATTTTCCTTTCCTAATATGTCTTTGTTATAAAAAAATATGAAGTTAAAGGTAGAGTTTAAAATGTGAATAGTGTGCATTCGTGCCTTTTTCTTTTTGAATAAAGAAAGAATGGAAGTATGAAATTCTTGTGATGCGGGTTTGTTGTCATCGGTGAATTGAAATTGAAAGGCAATATAAGGAAAGTATTGATAAAAAAAAAAAAAAATTCCCGGCAGATTGAAATAATGTGTTTACTGTAGCGTTTTGAGAAGACTTTTTATAGGTCGAAAAGATAAGGAGAATTTTTATAAAGGCTTCTTGATTAAATTTATTTAAATTCAAAGTTTTTGAATTTGTGAAATTATATTGTAGTTTAAGAGTATTGATTTGATATTAAGTGTATGAGAGAAATGATAAAATTATCTCTTATTTAAATTAATATTAATTTTTTTTTACTTCACTTGTTTATTGTTATGTTTTACTTGTTAATTTATTTACTGAATGTTGTTAATTATTTTATTTAATTTTTTTATTTTAATTGTTTAAATCATCTTAAAACAACTATTAATTTTTATATTGTATATTATTTATTTATTTGTAGATTGTTATTTATATTTTTTTCACTTGTTCATTGTTAAACTTTTACTCGATTTTATTTTGGGGAAATGAACAAATAAAATCGGATAATTAATAATATTTTATAAATAAATGAACAAGTGAAGTAGGATAATTAACAATGAAGTGGGGCAATTTTAATATTAATTTAAGTGAAGAATAATTTTGTTATTTTTTTAAAAAAATTTAATATTAAATTAGTATTCCTGATTATAATGAAATTTTAAAAGTTTATGAGTTTTGAATTTAAACAAGTGGTTAAGGGATCTTTATTGAAATTGTTTTAGAGGAAAACTTTGTTAGCTGATTTTTAGGGACGTTGTGGTTCTTTCCTTTGATGGAGGGGGATGGACGTGAAGTTATAGACAAGCAGGGGTCATTGGTTGAAAGCATAATCTTATTTTCTTTTCCATTAATGAAATGAGCACTGTTTTGAGAGCGTAGTCTTTTTCCATTACATGCACTGGAATCAATTTTGTGTGCGCAAAATATGAAGAAAAGTTACCTCTATGATATACCTTTTTTTTTTTACAGTTTTCTTAAACTTGAGAAAGAAATGAGGAGAAAAGACAGGGCTGATGTGATTGATAGAGGAGGCTGGACTCTTTTTAACATTGTTATTAGAATCAGACCGAACTGGTTGATTCAACTAAAAACTGATTCTCAATTCAATTTGGTTATTGTCAAAAATCAAAAATTTTAAAAACTGATTAAAAATAGATAGAACCGATCAAAAATCAGAAAAATCAACCAAAATTGAGTAAGAATCAGTTGAACCGGTAATGATATTTTTTTATTTTTTGTATTTTAATTCATATTTTTAAATTATAATTTATACATATTTATACTTAATAAGCATTATGAAATAAAAAATACAAAAAATATGTATGAATTATGCATATGTGTATATATTTTAAAGTTATAAATTATGAATTATGAAATACTTATATATAATTTGGATGAAAATTATGTAATATTAATGGATGTTATATTTTTTGTTGTATATTATTTTGTTTGAAATTTATATATTCATTTTTGTTACTATATGTAATTTTTTTTTATATTTTAATATTTAAAATATATTTATTTTATGATTAGTTGAATTAAGATTAAAACTGTGGCTTGACTATTAAGCCGTGAATCAATACCTCAATCAGTTTAATAATCAATTCGGTTCTCATAACATTGCTTTTTAAGGGTTTGTTAGTCACGTTGGAATTAGGCTATTAGGCTTCCATGGAGATGGTAGAGAGGGTGGCAAGGCAGTGGTGAGGATTACCACGGATCTTTGACTTCGTCTTCCCCGCTTTCTCTTCGTCTGTCTTCTCCAGATTATTCTCTCATCTTATCTTCACGATTTCTACTTCGTCTACTTTGCGATTTTGTCTTCTTCATTGCACCTGCCTGGAGCCTGCGGCAATTTTTGCTTCTTCTACTTCGTGATTTTTGAGAAGAACCACGTTTTTTGTTTTTGTGGTGTTCACCGATTATCTCAGATTGTTGCTGGTTTGTGCCTTAGATTATCAACGATTTTGAATAGAGATTTGCTGGTGGTCGGTTCTGGTCGGTGTGGACTGTGGAGGGATCATATTCTGTTTTGGAGGGTATTTTAATATGCTCACATTATATATTTTATATTAAAAATTAATTTAGACTTCCATGGACCTGCTAAGCATTTTTAAAACCAAGTTCCATCTCCATTTCCTTTGAAACCGCTCCCACACACCAAAGGAGCTTCTGAACTCTCTACACATGTGCGTCACAACTCACGAGCTACGACAAAATCATGCTTATGGATTTTAATTATTTAGAATTTAAACTTTAAAATATTATAATTTGTGCTCTCAATAATAGTTGATTAAAACATGTACTTCTAAATATAAAAATTTGGAATTCCTTCATTCATTCATTTATTCTTTCTGAGAAATTTCCTTCATACTCAGACTCAGTGGAATCTGTGTGCAATCCGTTTCGGCATTTACAATCTATTGATGTACAGTTGCTGGCACGTCTACACAGAATTGTGATTTTCAGACGGACGCCAAGTGGCAAGTGACGTTGCATTGTTATTTATTGCAGATAAGATCGAATCAAAGATTCATTCAGGAATCAGGATCTACTCTCTCTCTCTCGACTTCCTCAAATTTGCTTCCATTTTTCATTTCTAATTCTGCAGTTGTTTCTTCATTCCGAAGGTTAACGTCTGGTCTCTCGCTCCCAGCATTCACCTCCACTTTTACAGGACTATATATCATTCAGACTTTACAAATTTTCGATTTTAGTATCTGAAAATTTGTTGTGAATAACTAATTGGTAAAAAAAAGATATAAATGTCAGCAACGTAATAATTCTCAAGGGGACCGATCCGAGCTCTTTAATAACAGGAGGGAAAGTATTTTATTAGAGAAGATGCTTCTACATGCAAAAAAGCAAAATACTTGCTCTTCATTGTCGCTTTGTGGATGATACTTTGACTTGGCGCGCGCGTGTGCGCGGAGAGTATCCTAGTCCTGGAAATAAAATAGTAAAACTAGCCAGACCATACATATTATAATACAGATTCTGAATATGTATCTCTTTTTCAGGCCTAAAAAATAAGAAAGTTAATCCATGATTTGCCGCTACTATTTTTGTCTTCAATCCAAATACGCATAAAATCCAACCTTGTATTTTATATAGCTTGTCGCGGTTCCCACGTCCCTCATTAACTGTTGTATTCCAATACGCATTATAATATGAACATGGCTCGCTGTGTGAGCTGTGTATTTTGAGGCCGTTTTGTCGTTGCTAGAAAGTCAAGCCCATATGGTCCGAAGCTAATTTCTGAGCGTAATATCAATCCTCGATAGTCGGGGAAAATCTCTTTGATTCGTTTCTTTCTAAAGTTCGAAACTTGTGCTGAGAAGTAAATTTCAGAAGAAACGGGAGCATTTGAAAATGGTCTTCTCACGGATTATTATGCTGCTATAATGTTCTTGTGAGTACTGATTTCTCGTCAGCGTATGACTTGGGTTCGTCCACAATGAAGCTAAGAAATGAGAATTTAGTTAGGTAATTTCGGTATCACATTCTCTGTTTTGTTCCTCCATTCCCATTATAAGATTGCATCGCTTTGCTTCGTGGGTTGCAAAATCTGCAGGTTTTACGACGATGGTAAACAGAAACTAGAGCTTTCCTTGGAAAAGCCATTGTCAGTATATAAGGTACACGCAGCCGTAAACTCTGAAGGCAAAATTGGGAGTGGTGATAAGAACAGAATTAACCCAAAAATCCCTTCTCTCGGAAAGTTTAAGGTATTCCCGGAAAACCATGAACCTTGGAAGAAGAGAATCCTTGATCCTGGAAGTGACATATATTTGCAGTGGAACCGGGTTTTCCTTTGTTCTTGCATTCTAGCTCTATTTGTTGACACTCTGTTTTTTTACCTGCCCTCGGTGGCAAATGAGGAAAAGTCACCTTGTATGGCTACTGATTTGAATATTGGAATTGTAGTGACATGTTTCCGAACATTGGCTGATATTTTCTATCTGCTTAACATGCTCATAAAGTTCAGAACAGCTTATGTATCACCAAGTTCAAGGGTTTTTGGGAGGGGCGAGTTAGTCATGGATCCGAGGCTGATAGCAAAACGGTATTTGAGGTCAAATTTCTTCATAGATCTTGTAGCTACACCACCTCTTCCTCAGGTATCAAAACTTGAAAGACAGTGTGTGTCTATATATGCTTAGAGGACTAATAAGGATATCTGATTTTGATTTGTTTACTTATTGACACCCTAACCTTGTTGCCGGGTTTTGCTGTGTGTATTTGTATTTTGTCTTTGAGAAACTTTAGGGAATGATAAAGACTGATGTTAGATAATATTGTTGGTGTTTCTTCAATGGCAGATCATGATTTGGTTTATTATGCCTGCAATTAGAAGCTCTCATGCTGATCACACCAACAATGCTCTTGTACTGATTGTTCTGCTTCAATATGTTCCCAGATTATATTTGATTTTCCCCTTAAGTTCTCAGATTATCAAAGCCACTGGTGTAGTCACAAAGACGGCTTGGGCTGGAGCTGCTTATAATCTTTTACTTTACATGCTAGCTAGCCATGTGTGTTGTTAACTTCTCCTTGTATTTTTTTATTTAGTCCCAAGTAATTGTTCCCTTTCGATGTTTGCGAAATTTTACATATTTACAACTAGTTTTGTTGTAGGTGTTGGGAGCATCATGGTACTTGTTGTCAATTGAAAGGAATGCTACATGTTGGATATGACAATGCAAAAATGAAACTCTCCCCATAAAATGTGTTCTTCAATACTTGGATTGCAGTACTTTAAACGATGATGATCGTATGAAGTGGGTAAACACTACTTCATTGTTTGATAACTGCAATCCAAATAACGACATCAGTTTCAAGTATGGCATTTTTGGACCTGCAGTTGAAAGCAATGTTGTTTCCTCACAGTTTGTAGAAAAATATCTCTATTGTCTGTGGTGGGGCTTGCAAAACTTGAGGTTTGATTCTAGATTGTGACGTTTTTGTGCTCTGCATTATAATATGTCTACATTCTTTATTGAACATTTATTTGAGATTAGTTCAAGTGGTAAATGATAGGATGGGGTGTAGATAGTATGTGAAGTTGTTGATATTATCATCAAAGATGAAAACTTTGATTAGTTCACTTCAATTATCATAAATCAATTTCATACATATCCCTTGAAGACTTCTCATTTGTTCACATTTGATTGACCTCTTTATTTCTGAATTTTGAAGTTCCTATGGCCAGAATTTGAGTACAAGCACATTCATTTGGGAAACCACATTTGCAATACTTATAGCTATTATGGGTCTAGTTTTGTTTGCTCACTTAATTGGAAACATGCAGGTATATACCACTTCCTCAGCATTATAAAAACCTTACTTTCTTGAAATTATAATTCTATTAATGTTTGTTAAGTTTTAGATGAACCAAACAAGAACTTTTTATATAACATGTAATTCAATTGATTATGACAAGAATCCGTGCAGACATATCTGCAATCTATTGCAGTAAGGCTTGAGGAATGGAGACTCAAACGACACGATACCGAAGAATGGATGAGACATCGTCAACTCCCACAAAATCTAAGAGAACGAGTTAGAAGATTTGTTCAATACAAGTGGCTTGCAACTCGAGGAGTTGATGAAGAAGCTATCTTGCGAGGCCTTCCCATAGACTTGCGTAGAGATATCCAACGCCACCTTTGCTTAGACCTTGTTCGACGTGTGAGTTCCTCCTAAGAACAAGCTATATAATTATTCTGCATCAAGTTTTACAATCTAATGGCTGGCGTGGCATGATTTACAGGTCCCTTTTTTCTCAGAAATGGATGATCAGTTACTTGATGCAATATGTGAGAGATTGGTATCATCCTTGAGTACTCAAGGCACTTGCATTGTCCGAGAAGGAGATCCAGTCACAGAAATGTTTTTCATAATAAGAGGAAGACTTGAAAGCTCGACTACAAATGGAGGCAGAACAGGTTTCTTCAACTCTATTACATTGAGACCAGGTGATTTTTGTGGAGAAGAGTTGCTAGCATGGGCATTGCTTCCAAAATCTACTTCCAATTTGCCTTCTTCTACAAGAACAGTGAAAGCCCTCGTGGAAGTGGAAGCCTTTGCCCTGAGAGCTGAAGATCTCAAATTTGTTGCCAATCAGTTTCGCCGTCTTCACAGCAAGAAGTTGCAGCATACCTTCCGTTTCTACTCTTACCACTGGAGAACATGGGCTGTATGCTTCATTCAAGCTGTTTGGAGAAGGTACAAGAAGAGAATGCTAGCGGCCAGCCTTAGTTTGAAGGAATGCCGCTCATTCACTTACTGTGATGAACAGATTAGTGGTGTGGTGAAACATGATGAGGAGGACCCTCATGCTGTGACTTCATGTGCTAATTCATTAGGTGTCACTATACTTGCCTCAAAATTTGCTGCAAATGCAAGGAGAGGAGCTCAGAAGATCAAGGATCTTGAGATGCCTAAGTTGCAAAAGCCTGAAGAGCCTGATTTCTCAGAGGAAGCAGAGGATGATTAAAGGAAATATTGAGAATTAAGGAAGAAGGTCTTCCTTACTTCTCATGTTTGCGCATTAGTTGCTAGTCACCGAAAAAAAACAAAAACAAAAAACAAAAAGATCAGTGGCATATTCTGAGTTTGTCTCTCAGCCGGTAATTTTTCTTTTTTTCTTTTTAAATAAAATCTGGAATGTCTCAGCATACTGACCATAGGAATACAAAAGCCGGCTCCCTAGCTCTTGTAAATAAGAATCACTTCACATTCAACTTGAACTTCACACAGCAGCACTGATTGCATGTCATATATTTAGTTTGGTGCACGGATATTTGCTTCTTGGGCCTGTATCATCACAAATCACTAATCCAATAACACATCAGAACAAGAAGAAAGTAAGCTTAGCTTCACTTTCAATTTTTATAGTTTGCTCATGTGAAAAAAAGCAGGCCCACTATTCAATACCACCAATGTTGTCCCTCTAGTTTGATCATGAAACCAAGTCCTTTGGTGTTGCTCCTAGTACAAATCAAAACTACTAGTCAGAAGTATTTTTCTTTAAGTTAGGGGAAACCCACTTTGCCAAAGGACATTAGGTCGGTCTTCATGCTATGCAAAGGTTAAATTAAGGATTTCAGTTAAAAAATTAATAATTTATGGCAAAATTTAAATTAGGAATTCCATTTTAGGAGTCAAAGTTGAGAGATATTTTTTATAGGTGTTGAATTTGAAATTCTATTTATTTTTAGATTTCACTGTTGGTGAGCCAATCATAGATTTCTAGTCTGTACATACAAATGTGGTTCAATCTGTATGTATTTTCAGCTCAAGTCGTCAACGCCAACCGGCCACGAGAAGTCCAGACATCTCTCTCGCGGCATTCGAATTGTTTAGTTTTGCATGAGATGGACCAGAAATAAGGCAAGTCCCATGCACTATCATCATTTTTGTCGATTACACTCAAGTTTTACAGCTCACGTGGGGAATCAAAAAAAAATCCGAACCATGGACACAGTGAGTTTGACAGCATCAACCTTAGTGAAAAAGGAAGCTATAGTTGCTGGCGTCACAATGGCAGCCATAGACACGGTGGAGAGGTGAAGATGGGCCATCTTTAATACAAAAATGAGGGGCATTATTCTGGAAAAAATGAGTTGCATTATGCTAGTGGCTTTCAAAGAGAGGTTGAATTGATCAACGTGCATTAAGGATTGTTGAATGGGGGAGGTTAACGAACTTTCAAGGGAACAAAATTGAGGCATGGGTCAATTGTAATGGAGAAGATATCTCAACAAAAAGGAATAAGGTAAATCTCATGCTGGGGGGGGGGGTGATCGGCTAAGCTTAATGTTAACATTGTCCATCTTCAAAAGTCATCTTCTACTTCCCTTTTTTTATCCAATTTGTGACTAAAGAAAAGATGTCATTACCGCTACAATTTAAATCAAAATCCAGTACAAAATTCCGGAATTGTTATTCTTATCTATCAAATCTATTTTTTATTTCTTTCATATATTTAGTAGAGTTACAAAATTTTAAATTTTGTGTTTTCAAATTATCTTGAATGAATGATAAAAAAAAATGAAAATGAACTGTGTTTTATTCTTCTTCTTTTTTTTGGTAAATGAATAGTTAATTTACAGCCTGTTTTGTTTTTGTTTTCAAAAGCAATTTTTTGTTTTTTAAATTAAACAAAAAAATTGTTTAGATGGGTGTTTTGAATCTAATTGTTTTCATTCTTTGTTTTCAAAAACAAAAAAAATAGAAACATCTTAAAACTACTTTCATTTCATTTTTTTTTATTTTCAAAATACATTATATTTCATTATTGAAAACTACAATTACATTGATAAATAATTATCATAAGTCACTACTATTAATCGGCACCATCATTATCAATCATTTTTTAATTCTATAATTGTTTTTAAATTAATAAAACTAAACATATTTTTCTTTTGTTTTGTATTGAAAAACAATTTTTAAAAATAAAAAATGAGAACAGAAATCAAACTGGTCTTAAGTTGCCACTTTTTATATTATCAGAGTAACTTATTACTTTTTAGGTTATAGAGACAACTTAAGTTGGATGCATTCATATATAATCTTCTATTTTAACTGTTGAAAAGTTGTATATTTCATCGATAAGCATATGAGAAATTTTACATGAATAACGTTATTGTCACCCTTTTATTCTTGTTATTTGCACTAGAAATGAAAATCATGCCAAGGATTTAGCTAACGTGTTTAGTTGCGGTGGCTCTTTTCTCTTCTTTTTCTCTTTTTTAAAAGCTAATGTTTAAGTGGTTCTAGAGACAATGATTGATTTACCAAAGTGAAAAACCTATTGGCACCACTTTACTGAATATTTGAGAAGCTGAAAAACCCATCTCAGTGTTGGGGGGCTTATGAGAATCCCTCAAGTGGTAGTGCTTGAAAAATGCCACCACATCAAGTTACTGGCGTATTTTACACTGTCTAGGGGCTCAATCCAAAAGAAAAATTGTCTTCTTTTTCTTCCCTCCATGAGATTGTGTTTTCATTGTTCCAACTGGTTGTGAATCGTTTGTCGTGCTCACCCCAGAAAAGGGAAGTGGAAGACCATCTCCATCCTGCAAAAGTTAAAACAATCTTATGTTAAGCAATTATGGCTGGTTGAATGTTATAGCTCATGACTAAAGAGGAAATGTGTGTTATTCTTGGAGTGAAATCCCCTCTCATATAGGCAGAGAAGTTCGTATGCGCTTGTGCACACATACGAACGTTGAAGATAAGCTACTAATATTGATTTGGGCAAATTGTGTGGAAAAGGGAATTGAGAAAATACGAAGCTTACTAGATGCTGTACACAACCACTTTAGGGTGCAAGGCAATTAATTTTTTCAGCAAGATTTCTCAACTTGTGCAGTTCAGGCAAGACAACCTTGGCGAGATCAGGCCTATCTTTTCGCCTTAACTGGGAACACTGAAGTGCCATATTTGCTAGACTCAAGGCCTCCTCTACAGGCCAGTCAGGCACTGTTGGATCGAGTATCTGAGCAAATGCTCTTTTCTCAATAGCTCTCTCAACATGATGGGTCAAACCCATTGGTGGTTTAGCTGTTAAAATCTGCAGGAAAATTATCCCAAGGGAGTATATATCAGACTTCACCCCAAGCATTCCCGTCTGTTGGTACTCTGGATCTATATAACAGAAAGTTCCGGCAGTTGATGTCATTTGATATTGTGTCGTACTGCCAGCCAGAGATGGTGGAACTAGCCTGGCTAAGCCTACATCACCAATCTTGGCTACATAGTTGCTGTCAAGCAGGATGTTAGCTGGTTTCAAGTCCCTATGCACTAGAGGCTCTGGTTTTCTCTGGTGCAGAAACAACAAGCCAGTGCTTATTTCAACTGCAATTTTGAACCTAATCTGCCAAGGAAGTGAGGGAGTGTTCCCTCGACGAAAGAGGCGATCTTCTAAGCTTCCATTGGCCATGTAATCATAGACAAGGCAGCCATACTCTGGGCAGGCTCCCAGGAGAAGAACCATGTTTGGATGCCTTATGCAGCTCAGTACCTCAACCTGTAACATACATATCAACAAGTCGAGCCAACTATATTACTAATAGATATTGTTTTGTTTCATTTGTTTCACCGATTACCTCTCTTTGAAATTGTGACCTCCCTTGTGCTGCATCAGGACGTAGAACCTTCACTGCCACAGGGGTATGGTCCAAATGGCACCTATATACTGGACCATAACCCCCTTCTCCAATCTTTAATGAATCTGTAAAGAACTCTGTCGCAGCTTCAATCTCCTCAATTGAATACCTTCTATACCCAATGTCTCTGTTCGTAAAAGCATCTAGTGCTTTTGTTTTCTCTTCCGATTCTTTGAGTGCTTTAATTTCTACAACTCCTCTCCTTTTTGCTTCCAGATCCTCAATCCTCCGATGTGCTTCAACAACCTCCTTAGCTGCTTTGGCATTAGCCATCTCCTTTTCTGCAACTTCTAAAACAGCTTCCCCAACAAGCTTTGCCTCTTCCACTTTTCTTTCTTCCTTCCTTTTCCAACGTTGGAGTTCTACAGTCTGTAATGCAAAATGTCAAATCTTCTTGTGCTTGTGTGTATGTAAAGAAAAAATCAATTTGTACCTCCTGCTGTGCTACGAGCGCTTCTTTACAGGCAATGCTATACATTTCCATTGTTCTCTTAAGTTCTAATTTCAGTCTCCTCATTTCAGCCTCCATATCATCCTATAATTTCATCACATACCCACACAGCAATCAGTAAAAGGCCAATATAATCATTTCATAGCTGATTACTTATCCATACCAAGATGTACTCGAGGCCTATTAGGATTGGATGAAACATGATATATTAAAGAAAGTTAAAAGGAAATCTAGTGGTATAATCATATATCATTCATAAAGACTGCAAGATGAGTGGCCTTGGCACGTTACTCACTTCTTGATCTTAAGAAAATACATATTGAAAAACTACCTTCTAATGAAAACTATCCAAATTACAAAGTTCTCTAAAGGCCGCTTAAAAGTGCAAGAACTACTGATAAATGCACCCTGCATGGGTAATACAGGAAGTACAATGTACAGCTCAATCTTCCATACCGTGACATGTGGTGTTAAAAGTCCATTTCCATCTGATGAGAAGGATTCCAAAGGAGAGCTAATATCTATAGACCCCCTTCGGTTCTGCAGTAACTCAAAGCTGTAGTTCCCGTCTATCTCTGAGCTGAGTGCTACCCCAGGGCTGGACATCCCTGAATCAGAGCCGTCGTATAACAAACAGAATATATGGTTTGGACTTGGTCTTTCAGAGCTTACAAAGGATACGTCAGTACCTGGAAGGGGATTTTCCTTATGTGACTTGCTATTCAAATTTCTCCCAGTTACTGGTGACCTGATATAACCGTGCCAAGAATAAATTGAAAAAGCAAAATGAATAAACTTGAAGGAATTTTCTGAGAAGTATGCACTGCCACTGACCTGAAAGATTCAGTTTCATCCTCTAATTTACTTTTCACACCAGTGGATAGCTTTTCATGTGCTGATAGAAACCTCTTAGTAAGCAAAATACATGCAAATTGTACTTGTGCATGTGTGTGTGATTTATGAAGAAATGAATCCAATATCTCTTACCATGATTAGTTAACGGCATTTTTGTCTCTGCTAGGTTTGACTTGATGCTTGCTTGATTATGCTTGCTAGGAAGGGAAATGGCTGGAGCAGGACGAGAAGCTGATCGCATTGTTTGAATCTTTTCTTTAGCGACAACATAGACAGAACAGAAATCCGGTGCCCCTTTTGCCACCGTTCCTGGAATATCAGCTACCTTGAATTTTCTGATGACAATAAAAAAAATTGTTTGGGAATTGATATGCATTCATTCGTATAGGGATGCTAGAAACATGAGGACTTATTTATGCTACTGAATCCTAAACAAAATTTTCAACTTAATTGGAAGCACGTGAGGTAAAATTAATGTGAATATTTCTTAGCATTACAAAACCATATCAAATTGAAATATGACATAATTGCAAGTTCTCTTTCCTCTTCTCATTTGGAGCTTGATTGTTGGTCAAGTTTGCTTCAATTCATCAAACGTTATTTCGCATTCATCTTATTGATAATCCACAAAGATGTTAAGGTACAACCATGTGACTCAACAAGAGAGATAGATACCTAAACAAACCATTTTTATTTGACAAGCCAAGAACTAAATGCTCGATAGCCGTGCGAAAAGCATGTTCAATCAAAGCTCTCGCTACATCTGTATCTTCTAGTATGACATTCTTGCATTGTATCTGCAGTCCATAACCCAATTCCCCGCCATAGAAGGTTTTAGGGAGGGATCAAAAGGACATAGTAACATGCTTAAAAAAGTTACACCTAAGAACAGTTAAATAAAAGTCATCACATAAAATTTGAATCATTTAAACTTGGGTCATTTTGATGGAGAAAAACTTTGTATTATCTTCCAGGGGAATAAAATAGTAAAACCTACGCCTTTCCGTGCACAAAAGACATGACATGGGTGAAAAATTTCCTCGGTGAGTCCATCCGAGTCCTTGTGGGGCAATGAACCTTTGTCTGCAGAACTATTTGTCCATGACCCTACACTCAGCAAAAGTGAGAGGTCAATTAATCTTGAGGAGGCATTTCTTCTATTTGCTATATCCTAACACGATGTTTTAGAAGGGCATTTATAAGTATGGCATGTAGAGAACAAGGTATACTGACATGAAGCTTGATGAGAAGTTCCCTTCACTTTGACATGGATGAGAACTACAGTTGAGCCTCTCGCGAGGAGATGTTCAGCTGCCCATTTGAGTGCATTTTGGCTTCCCTTGTCTTTGTCTATTCCTACTGCCACTATTCCATTCCCATTCTTCTTCTCATGCTTCTCTGATTGATCCTTCAAATTCTTCATTCCTCTATCTCTGTTCCTGGGGCTCTTTCAATGGAAGGAAACAAAAACAAAATAAAGCAAAAAATCCTTCGTACTAAAATTATGATTCTTTCTTCCTCCCAGAGAAAAAGACCCCAGATTTTGTCTTTTAAAAGCTCCTCCGTCCACCCTCCCTCGACGGCGAACAGAGACAAGAGAGCTTTGAGGAATAAGTTTGATTTACTTCTCTTATTTCTTTCAGCGTTAGAACAAAAAGAGAATGTCAACCGATTAATCATCTTCTCTCTGAAATTAGTAACCACGTTTGCGTTTTTGCATTGACTATTTTGAGCTTTCGGACTTGAGGCAAATCACATGTTTCTTCTGGTGTCCGAACAATAAATGTATAGCAATAAAATAATGCACCCTCCTCCTTCCAGAATTAGCAGCCATTTTCGGGTTCTACAGAACTATTTTGAGCCTTTGCCTGCGATAGAACTATGGCTGACTAGCCTCTCTTATCTCCCCCTTGGAGAATAATTCTCAAACTGTGCGATAACAAGTTTGACAAAAATGATTTTCCATTTTTATCTATTTTTATTTTGGGTGAAAATTTTTATTAAGTCATAAAAAAATATTTGTCATCAATGTAATCACTTTTTAGTATTTGATGAATATTATATACAATAATATTCGTTACGATAATTTTAGATTAACAAATTTGATACTTAGTAGATGGTGTCGGAAAAGTTATTCTCCATTTAAAACTATCAATAGTTAAATTTAGATTTGTTGATAAATACCATATAGCAAATAATCACCCAGAAATAACGATGCTCTAATACCTCAATTACGTTATCACACTATCTCCGTGTGTTTAATTATGTAATTTCTGCATATCTTGAAATTTTTTCATGCCCGAGACGCCGTGTGCTTGAGGATTAGCAGTGAGAGACTTCTTCTACACTAGTATGTTTGGATAGCAAGTGTAGATCTAATTTTCAAAACTTCAAAATAGCAGCTTTCATTAACAGAGTATCAAGGCAGAATTGTAGTTTGTTTCTTATGTTTACAAACTAAAAATTAAATCCCCATATAAAAGTTGCAAGTCTGTATAATATCTGTTTGCAAACATTGCCAGCGTCATGATTGTATTTTCTAGCAGCTTTCATCTTTGTTGACCTTTTCAACGCAACTTGGGTGAAGGTCATAATCACAAACATCACAGGAGAATGCCCAGAACTTGCCTTGCTTTTTACACACGAGACTTGGCCATGTCCAATTTTAGAAGATGGTCATGCTTTGACATCCTCAAGCTCCTGAGGTAAAGCCTCTCCATCCTTTCTCAGAGCAGCTTCAAGGTCCCTTATACGTGAATTAGTGAAAGGGAAAGCTTCAGCACCATAGGAGGACACCACAAACTTCCTATTTATACTTATGACTTTGCCCTTTGGCCCAATTAGAACCAAAGCAGAAATCCCTTTTATATCAAAGATTCTACAAAGATTATGCCTTGTTTTGTCCATATATGGTATAGCCAGCCATAGCATACTATTTCTTTTCACATTAAATTCCACTAGGTCGTTATCAGTTAACTTCAAGATAACTTCAAAACAGTGATATTTTCTAGTGTTGAGATTGCTGTATACGTATGTAAGTTGGACAGTGAAGGTACGGCAAGGGGGAGACCAGTCAACACAAAAATATAGGCCTATGGTTTTACCTACAAGTTCAGATATTGGTACCTGCAACAAAGTGGGATATGTTATTTATGTTCCGTAAGATTATGTAGGTAGTAAAGAAGAAGCAAAACCTTTCTATCACCCCTAGAGATGAGAAAATTGCATCCTTTATGAGCCAGAAGTTTTTTTAAATTGACTTCTTCTCACTTTCTTTAATCCATAACTTTTAATCCTTATAGTCTATTATTTGTGAAAGGGAATGCTTTCGCACCATAGTCTTCAATACAGCCAATCATATCTTATTCAGTGGTTATGCCCTCTAAACATAACGATAGGAATGATAAGATTCGATAGACTTGATTAGGGTTGTTTAGGTGACTTGAAAGCCTGATTAGCTCAATCTTGTCCAAGCTAGTGGAGCTGACCGGACCAAGCATCGGGTTAGGGTCAACCTTAGCCCAACCCTGCCCGGCCCGAAATATCTATTTATTTTATTTTATTTTTTATCAAAACTTAATTATTTTACAATGTTATTTTTATTTTATTTTCATATATATTATGTTATTTTTTATGTTCATCACAAATATCTTTTATAATTTTAATTTTTTTAATCACTTAAATATTTAAAATTAATTTTTTTTACTTTATATCATGTGAAAATAATAAATAGTTTTTAATTATATAGAATTTAAAAAATTATTACTTCAAATTCTAACATTTTTTATTAATAACACATTTTAAATAATTTTAATTATATTTTGCATTGTTTAATAAATTTTTTTATATTTAAAATTTTTTTAAAAATAAAATTTGGGCATCAGGCCAAAACCCTATCCAAGCTTTCAAGTGGCTCGATGCTCGAATGTATACATAAGGTTGGGCATCGAGGGCTAAGGTGGAGCCCAACCCAGCCTGGCTCATGTACACCCATAGACTTGATACCTATTAATCAACCTTCTGTGTAGGTTTGCAATAAAGAGGATTGCAAGCCATGGCATGATCTTGAAGTATTGATGAAAACCATCCTCATCATGATCAAAGGAGATGAAAAGGAGATTTGTACCTTTAGAAGACTCAATCAATCATAAGAAAGAAGAGGAAAAGCGAAAAGGAGAGCAAAAGCAACCCCTTTAATTAACTAAGCTTTCAGAAAATAGCAATTTCTGCATAGAAAGTATATTAAACGAGTGAAAAGAAATATCTAATTGCATAGAGCTCAACAAAGCATATTTGATTTGGAAACCTATTCATCCAGCATGCAAATAGGCTAAAAGGTTCATGGCCTAATTCTGAGGAGTGAAAACTCATAACAAAGACAAAGTTTGAAGGAAGTACCTTGGAGCAGCTACTATGGATGATGAAGATGAATGAGAAATGGAGAGAACGGTATGAAAATGAAAAGGAATTTCACGTCACATGACACAAATCGTTTAAAGGCAATGCGGACATTGTAAGGCTGCTGTTTATTTTATTTTATTTTTCTTATGTTTTGTGATTTTTCCCCACTTTGTTGGGAAAGGAAATAGGAGGTGACGTTGAGTAGATTGAGGCGTATTCCTTGGCTTCTTTAAGGTTCGTTACTTTGGCAAGTGGATATGCTGACATTAAGACAAGATTATATCTTTATCTCCTCCAAAGTCCAAACTCTAGTGTAACAAAAACTCTATATTTTGAATGGTTTGAGAAAATAACTTTCTAGAGAACCCATTGAAAGTCAGATAGAGAAAAAAAAACATTGAAAATATTTAATATTTGGGCCAAAAAAAACTCATAGTTGTGATAAATATTAAATAGAGCACTAAATATTAAATATTGATTCAATTTTTCTTTTAATCCAAAAAGACAGTCATGAACTTTTGCCCGTAAAAAATAGATTGTTATGAACTAGATTGTCAATTCATAATTTAAGGTAAAGCACAAGGTTTATATTTTATAAAAAAATTCATCTAAGAGTCACTATGTATATATTAATAAGGGAATTTTAATTTAAAATATTTTGTAAAAGATTCATAAAAAAGCTTAGTCTCTAATTAATAATTTTCCTATTTTTAATTAATATTTTGTTCTAAATCCAACGGTTAATTTTGAAGTGTCACTTTTTTTAACAAAATATGTCAAAATTAATAAATAAAATATGACCGAGCATCATATTCATGCCCAACCTCTTTTCTCTTTATAACTTCAAGATCTCTCCTAAATAAGATAAATAAATGCCATTCGAATTCAAAGATAAAGATATATACGGTAGATGAGATCTAAAAATGTTGATGACCTAATTAGCAATTCACAAATTTGTGATATACTGATATTGATCTAGTTAATCTAATTACAATAGTCAAAACTCAAAAGTGTAAAAAGGACGGCCCGAACTCAAATCTAACTTGAGCTTATCTTGTGTTTAATCACTGTTTCAAAATGCGTGAGATTGATGGTAAAAAAATAGGTAAGATTTCTTCTTAGCGTTTTCCATCTTTTCAAGGAACTAGGCAATTAAAGATGACCTAATTTGCTGTCTACAAGCTATAAATAATCGGAATAATGATAGCAGCGACAATAGCAATGATGGTGAGTTACTGTAAGTCATGGTGGCTAGTTAAATTCTTCAAGAAATGGCATGAGAGAGGGTTTTCGATAGTGTGATCCTATTAGGCATGCATCATGATTTGTGAGATATTAACATCGAATTTACAAATTTAGAAGAGTAAAGATTCGAGAGAATCTAGCACACTTTCACATAACCATTGTTTAGGAGCTCTTGTTTATGTGTAGCAAGTTTGCTTGGAATAATTGGGTCAAGATTAGCCTATGAATTATTCCATACTAAAGGTTTCAAACAAATTACCCTACTTCATGAAAAGAGGAGATAAGTCATCCTCAGTCAATATTTTGAGTATAAATCTCCTTCATTAACCGTTCACCTTCTTCATCCCTATCCTCCATGCCCCATTGGCAGCGGCATATCCCAATCTTTAATAACTTAGATATTTCACCCTCCTAGTTCCTTGCCCCTGTTATCTCTTTATTTCTATGTCCCCTTTTCTTCGTCTTAAATAATTTACCTTAAATTTTCCTATTAAGTAGTTCAAGAAACAGCATCCCCAACCACCACACGTCTACCTTCTAATTAGATTGATCTATTTGGTATCAAGATCGTACTCTATCAGATAGGGATCAAAAGATTGGTCCAGCTAAACATTTAAGGATTTTACATGGACTAAGGAGGAAGGTCATGCCCTAAAAACTCTTCGTACAAGTATTCCTACCCCCTTGTTACTCCTTTTATTATGTTATGTTCAGTCGAGTTCGGAAGTTCGCCAATCTTAATATGAATCTAAATAATTTAACAAAAAGCCAATGATTTATTAGCCCTAAACAAGACAAGGTGAAGTTAAATTCAAGTAATCGAAATTGAAGAAGATGGGTTTTGGCTGAAATTTTGGTTGATAATGCTTACCATGGAGGTGACTAGCTTAGATGCTATTTTTGAAACACTCGAACCAAAAGCTTCTTTTTTTTTGTAGCAGAAAGCAATAAGGGGAAGTAGATTGGGATTTGTCAACTTTCCAGTAGTTTTTGTGTGCTTTGCGTACTCTTCCTTTCCAACTTTATTTATATACCTATATGGGTCTTGTAGGTCGTGAGGTTGTGTTATCCTTCTGAAGGAAGTTCAACTCTTTATTCTTACCCATCTTCGAGCCAAATTCCTCTTTGTTATCCTTTTTAAGGAAGTTAAACTTTCTATTCTTCCTCGAGTTGTCATTGTTCAGTAAGGTTAATCAATGGCTATTGTAAAGTAAAGGGCATTTCTTTCCTTCTTCTTGATGT